CACAAAGAATGGATTGCCATAGTTAAGGGTTTCCATCAATCGAGACAGTGACCACTGAAAATGAAAAAGCAAAATGCCAGTTTTACAAAAAGGATGATTCAAATCAATGTACATTTTTTCAAATCTTAAATCCCCAAATCTAATTTAACATGATACCAAAATATAATTTTTTTTATTTTTTCATTGTTACTTATTTTTAAACAAAATTAAGATTCATTAGCCATTTTGGTTCATGTTTTTTGGAGCTTGTACAGGTCACATCCTGAGATGAAATTCTGTCTATCTTGGTCAGTAAACATATCACCAAGCAATAACACAATCTTGCTGCAGTCAAGTTGTTTTGGACATTGATACAAGATATTGGTACCATTTACTGTATAGGTGTTAACAAGTATTATCCAAGTGGATGGATACTTTAGTATCAACAATCTTTCTGTGTAATTTGAGCAGTCTAGATATAAAGGTGCTAACTTGGCAACTTTCACTTCTGCAAGCAATAACCCATAGTCTGATAAGTCAAGATGTTTGCACAAAATATGATCACCTAATGAAATATCACCAGGCACATAGGCAGTAGCAGTTGACGTAACTGAACAATTCAAGGCCTGATCAATAGTTTATAAAAAACAAAAAACTTACAATCACACAAACACAAAAAGGAATATGATGAATAATAATTTCTATAGTTTATTTAACTAAAAACAATAACATTTAAAGTAGCTTTAGGCATTTTATTGTTTTTTTTACAGTTTTAAGTTTCCTACCTAAGAATCAAGATTGAGTCAAATTACAATTAGAATCTTATCTTCCAAGCATTATCAAAAAGACAAAACTAAAATACAAAATAAATTTAAGAAAGAAAAATTTCTGCTATTCCTTGATTCAAGACAAAATATATTTGCTTTCTTCAAATATTTTGAAGATCATTAACAATACATTATCTGTGAACAAAAGGAAAGCAAAAATAAAATATTCTGTATTTTTTTATAAAGAAAAAAAGTGCAGTTTTAAGAAAGCATGAAACTTACTTGGAACTGAGCACTGACACTTGGAGGTTGTTTTTTGAATGGTACTCTGCCACCACCAATCATGGTACGTGTTGCAATTGCCTTCAATGTCCGTACATCTCGATAACTCTAAAAGATTAGTCAGAAGTTATATATTTTTGTAGGTGTACATATGAAATAAAAGTAACAAACAAATAATAGAAGCTGAAAAAGATAAAAGAGTTTTTTACTGACTTTGTTAGTTAAAACAAATGAATTTACCTAACAAAAAAAAAAAAAAAAGAGTGAAAACTTTGAAGAGATTAAGTCTAAATAATAAAAGATAGGCACAAATTTAATTTGGTGTAAGAAGAGCAAAAGATGAATTTCTCAAAAATGTAGAAAAAGTCCTAAAGACAATTTTCAATACAAAATTCATTTTTGCATTATCACTTGATTATTTTGAACATGAATTTGTAAGAAGTATTATAGACTAATTTACCATTTTAGTTCATGTATTTTATAAATAAAAGAATGTTTGACAAAAAATATAAGTGATATTCTTTTAAAATAAGAAAAAAAGTAAATTTAAAAATATTACACTTCTGGGTAAATATGAATATGTGCACTTGCTGTGTGAGAGATTAACAAAAAGCTTTCAATAACAGAGACTAGTATTTCAAAGTCTATCAATATTGCAAAGGATCTTTTATATGTGAATTACAAGTTAATAATCTTAGCTTCATTACAAAATATACAAGTTCAAACATCAGAAAAAAATTTTATTCTTCTTCAGTACTTGCTTTATATAGAACTATTTAAAAAAAACAATTTAATAAATTGGCATTAATCCAACAGAAAAGTTTTTAGACATTGAAATCATATATATTAATTTTGAATTTAAATAAACCGGGTGGGATATAGAATGTTATCTGACTTCAAAGCGGTGAATCCAAAAATAAAAAAAAGAAGCCCCCACCAAAAAAAGGGGGGGGATCAGAACTCAACCGAGGACAAAACAAATATGTTCACAACTAAAAAGTGGGGAAAAGTAATATATAAACCTGTCCTATATTCATATTTAAATAAAAAAGTTTAAAAGATTATAAAAAAAAAATTCCTTACACATTAATTCAATATTTTATTATGCCAGGGAAAATTGACCAAATTCAAGTCAACCTAAACTTATTTGCAATCCTCTATATCAGAGGTCACCAAACTTTTTCACAGAGGACCAGATCACTGAGAGAATGACAAGCATGGGCCGGTTAACCATTTTGTCCAATACACCGAATGCAAAAAAAAATAAAGACAACAAACCTTTATTTACCAAAAAGCTATCAAAGAAGGAGACATTAGCAATAAAATAATTATATCATATCCAGTAGGCACATATCCAAATCTCACAAACTAAGCAGCAAAAAAAGTTAGTAAGATTTCTTTCAATATTTGCTCTAGAATTGCTGCATCTAACCAAGAGAATTGCTTTCAAAAGTTCATCAGTCAACCTCGATCGATGTACTGATTTTTTTCCTTCATTTTTTAAATTCTTTGCTCACAGACATAAGTTATTCCTAACACTGATACCATACCAGAGGCAAATTTCTTCAACTTCTATTGCTTTTCTTAGAAATTTCATTGCAGGTACTCACAAAAATTCACCAAATTTTTTATTTCATTGATTTTCCTAAAACATTTTTATTGTCAGATGCAAAAATTGGATTGGCCAAGTTTAGGTATTTTTACTTACATTTAAATTAAGTTTTTGTACTTAGTAAATATACTACAATCTATTGATAATTCCATATAAAAAATTATATTTTAGTTCATTTGTGGCACGGTGCAGCGGGCTGGATGAATTGATATTGCAAGCTGAATCTGGCCCATGGGCCATATTTTGGTGACCCCTGCTCTATATTATAATAAAGATAAAACAAAAGAGATAAAGCAACTTACCACATTTTGCCGGTATCTTGGCTTTGGACACTTGTTCTTCCTATCAGAGAAGGTCAAAATGTCATGTAATATTTTTTTTAACAAACAGTTACAAGTAAATACTTAAAAAATAAATCAATTAATCCTTCAATTTTTAACCAGTCAAGTACTGTAAAAGAACTGATGACATTAAATAAATCACAGATTAAAAAGAACAGAAAATTCAGTTTCATTAATAGATTAAAAAGAAAAAAAAACAGACCAATGATGGAAACATTGATGTTATTGAACTGTAATAGAAAACTTTGGAGGCTTTCATCAATTTTAACTTAAAATTTAAATGCTGTCATTTCCACAAAAACAAATCTGATAATATACTGAAGTTATCTTAAGCTAATTCCAAGTGTTTATTTTATTTATTAAACTGGAAACAAAATCATCTAACAACGTTGTTTGGCATCTGAACAGATTTATTAACACAGGTTTCTAGTTAACAATATAAAAAATGTTTCTCTATATAGTGAAGATAATTTAAATATACTTTGTTATTAATTCAATGCTGCTTTAATCAATAAAATAACCATATAAAAAGGTGACAGCTATAAACAAATGAAAAATATAGAAAAAGTGTTAATTTTTTTTTTTTTTTAAATCTATCTGGAATATAAAACAACATTTTCAAAATATTAAAATAATCATTCCATTTTTCTGGGTGAAGAATTACTTTATAAGAATGTTGTTTTATACTGGATAGTAATTATGAAAATTATTATCTGTCATCTTTGAAGGAAACAAAGCTAAACTCAAATGAACGGATTTTGTAAGGCTGGTAAATGTTCAGGTTGTTATGACATGGAATAAATTTGTAGTCAAGTTTTACAAGTGGTCAAGAAAGGGATCAGAGAGAATTAAATAAACCAAATGTCTGAAACAAGCTTAAAAAATTGGAACATGAAAAAGATAAACCAAGTACTGTCCTTGCAAGTGAAGGAAAAATACACACTTCACTAAACAAATCTGGGGAAAAAGAAACAGACAAAAATGTTCTACCTGATTAGGATCAGATTGCCTGTGAAAACACTAGATTCAATAATAATGATAAACATTTTTAAAATCAAATAAATTTGACTTTGTTTAACCTTTATACCCACAAAAAATGCTTTTCCAAAAAGATGACTTTCCTGTTGACATGACTTACTGGAAGCTACAGAGGCTCTATCAGCAATGTTTATTTATAAAAATATATGAATCAAGTCAAGCCAACAAAATAACAATCTCAACAGTGGAGATTGTGACAGATCTTACAGCAATTTAAAACTTGACAACATCAAACCAGTTTATACAACTGCTTTTTTTTAATGCAAGGAAAAGAAATTCTACTTTTTTTTAAGATTGTGATGGTCAAGAAAGAAAAGCAAGGTACTTATTCAAAAAGAATGGCTAGTTTAGAAGCAAAACAAAGTAACTAGTTAGTGGAAACTAACAGAGTTGAAATTACAAGGACTGAATGATTTATGCTTTGTTCAACTAAATCAGGAATTATTTTTTCAACCAACTTCCTGCCAATTTGTTTTGTAGAAAAGCTCAAAAAGAAAATGTTTAGGAATATTCTCAAATGTATTTTATTCTTTACATAAGTATATATGGAAATAGACATTTTTACTCTAAGTCCTAATTGATACTGTAAATAAAATTTACTTTAGTAATAGCAACATTAGTCTTATTATTTTAAAGCACAAATTGACCTGCAATATGACAATTTAAAAATTGTAAAAGACCGAAGTAAAAGATAATGAGAAAATAAATCTATCTGATTCTTTACTCTATGCTTTATTTCTCCTACAACCAACATATGCAAATAGGTAAAATCCTATTTGCCAATCCCATTATACCTGCCTGAACTGAAGAGGTTTAATGCATTTCATTGTTCTTGAACTTTTTCTCCAATCTCTTTCCTCCTATCCCCTTTGAGGCTTATGTCCTGTTCTTTTTAATGAAGCTCTTGGTCTCATCTCATTATATGTGTTTGAGTCATTCTTGCTATCATTCATAGGCTCTTCTATTATATTATCCTGATCTGAAAAAACTCATCCTTTCTTCTTCCATCACATGTTCCTCTTCAATTCTTGGTTTTAATTGGTCAGAATGAACCATTAGGCTTTTTCCTTTCTTTGATAAAATGGCCATGTTATGTCCCCTTTGCATGATAAAATTAGCTCTCTCAGGACTTGCTACTTTGTCTTTTTGATACCACATCTTTTGATTATTCAAATAAGACATTGTTAATGAAGATCTTTCCATTAATGCAGGTGGGCTTTGCAATCTATCTGCATGTGGAATAGCCCTATAACTAAGCAGTAACCTTGGTAATTGTTGTAGAGTGGTTTCACAGTGGAGGCTTGTATTTGTACTAAGTCGGTCCTAAAATAGGTTCGACGTACAAAACATTAGGAACTTGATATAATAGGTAATAACACAGAGCAGTCTAGTGGTGGTGGTTGCTGATACTTTAGTATCTGACTAACGGTCGTCCGGCATCGACTGACTGACCAACTCCCTGAGCGACTGCTACTACTCCTACTTATTATAGGTGGGAGAGTCTATTAACAATAGAATAGGTGTGTTCCACTATAACAGTAATTAACTGTCTATAGTATCTCTACTTGGGTAAAATGCATTCAATCTAAATTTTTATGGTCTGCAGGCATGGTGGCGTAATGGACAGTGGCCCGGATTGAGAAATCGGAGAGCCGAGTTCAAATTTCAATTGAATCCATTACATTCACTTATGTGCTAATACCCTTGGGAAAGGTATGAATCCTCTTCTTCTCCCCCAGCTATGGGTAAATAGCAGGACAGACCCAGTACTATAGCTTTGGATGGCAACTGGTCTACCACAGAAAGAAATAGCAACCTATTGCAGGAAAAAAAATCTGACTTGTTAGTCCTGTATTGAAAGATACATGATTGCCTAAGCATATGTCACACATGGCACATAACTGACTGACTGACCATTATTGCTGCAATTTCATAAGATTGTGGATGATATTGTGGTGTTTTGTAAGTGAAGCAGCCAATCTGCATCAACCAATTACATAAATCTACATCACAAAATTCTGGTGTGTTATCTGAAAATGTCTAGAAAATATCTCTCAATATTTGCATTAACTTTAATGACTTCAAGCCATCCAGAAAATGGAGCCTACTAAAATTAGAAATAGTCCCATGCCATTAATGTGTGCATGGTCCATATGAACACTAGACCATGGTTTCATTTCTTTAGGCTATGAGTATATTCTCCATTGTCAAAAATTCTTTATTTCTGCACATTTTGGCCATTTATGTACGTATGTTTCTATATCATGAAAAATACCCTGGCCACCATGCCTCCAATTTTAATCTCCTCTATGTTGCCATTATCCCACAATGAAAATCAGGTACACTTTTTAAAATATCTTTTCTTATAATTCCTGGTGATACTATCATATCTCCATTGTATATAACACCATTTTCTATTGTTAATTTATGCCTTATTTCTTTATAAGGTCTTTCAGCTTTGGAACAATTACTCCACCTGTTTCTTATTCTCTCAGCAATCTTGTAGAATTTCCAATACCAATCTTTGTAGAGATAATATGTCAGTTTCTACCCAATATAATATTTCTTCATCTGGTATTTCCATTTTTTTCTTTTTGATGCTTATTAAATTGGAACCTCGACAGTGCATCAACATGTGATATTGTATTTCCTTTTACATATTCAATGTCATATGCTATTAATTTTATTTCACATCTTAGAATTCTGGAAGAAGTAACTTGTTAACTCTTTCCTAGGGCTAAAAATAAACTCTAGAGTTTTATGGTTTGACTTTAATAGTAACTTTTTACCCAATAAAAATTGTTGAGCTTTGTCTGTGCTCCAATGCCTTTTCTTCAATATTTGAATAATTTATTTCTGCTGCTTTCAATCTTCTTGAAAGATACATTGGATGGCCTTCTTGTGATATAATTGCCGACATTGCTCACTTACTTACATCTGCAGTTAATGTAACCCCCTTTTTAGGATCAAAGATTTTTACAATGGTTTTTTTTCTGTAAATAAAATTAAATCCTCAAATGCTAAGTTTTGCCTTTGAGTCTATTTGAATACACTATTCATTTTATGCAGTTCAGCAAATGGTTCTATGGAGTAGCTATATTTTGATAGGTATCTATTATAAAAATGAACCAATCCTAAAAAGGACTAATTCCTTTTTATTAATGGGTATACATAACTCTGAAATTTTCTTAACTTTGGATCTGGTGCAATAGCATCTTTTGAAATCTGATACCCTAAATATGATATTGTATCGTAATCAAACTCACATTTGTTTGCATTTATTGTCATTCCAGCATCTTTTAACTTGTTTAACACATGCTCTGTGTTTTTTTTGTCTCTAGTGGTGACACTGAGGAAAATATCTTGATAAATAATCATGTTACTAATTTTATCAGTTAATACATTTTCCATTGCTCTCTGAAAAATAGCACTTGCTGTTTTCACACCAAAAAGAATTCTCATAAATATTAATAATCATATGGGGGTGTTTATTGTGGTAATTTCCTTGAATTTATCATCAATCTGTTCTTGATTATAGGCAGATTTTAAATCAATTTTTTCAAAAAATTTCATGCCCAATAATTTGTGGACAGTAGTTTTGATTTGGGAAAAGGAAACAAATACAAGTGTATTTTATGATTTACACCCATTTTAAAATCACCACTTATTCTGAAGTCTCCATCTGATTTTTCACAAAACTACAAATGGAAGAGCCCCATTTACTGCCATCTGGAGGAACATGCTTCAAAATTCCTTCTACCATTTTCTTTAACTTGGCAACCACTGAAGGTAGAAAGTGAATAGGTAATTTAGGAGATTCAAAATATGAGGTGGTACCATTTTCATTTAATTGTACACTTGCTTTATAGTCCTTTAACACTCCCATTTTTACTTTTTCTGATTTTCAACATTGATTAATTTTGACATATCCCCCTTTAGAACATCTATTTCTAGTATTCTATG